CCTCCCCTTCAATTCTTTGGGAATAAACCTCCAGGGCGTTTGCAATTCAAAACCACACATGGTGACTTTTCTCCAAGTTTCAAGTTTATTCGAAATTAGGCAAATACCTTCTCCTTGGGGGAGATCCTGCCAGAATCCTGCATTTCATCCAGCGTTTCCTAAGGATGGATCCAGCCTTCCGAGCGAGGTCCCTGGCGAACACAATGGCCAGGTACCGTACGTTATTTTAATGTCGACATCACTTTAAACTAACCTTTTACCATCTGTTCTGTCCTTTAGTAACAAATGCAAAGGAGCATAATTCTCGGTGGCGTCATAAAAGTGAGATGGGTGATGGAAATGCCCGCCTCCACTCTTTATTCACGGTCCTTCCGGACGCTGCTGTGATGTTTTTCTCATTTTCCAGACACAAATCAAGGGAAACTGCTCTCCCCTGATCTGGTGAATTCATCTGCACAGTATTTCTTCTTAATACGGTAAACTGTGGGAGAATTCAGGGCACCCTGTGCGTATTTCAGAAGGCGCCGCCAAACGGCACCTGGAGAATTAAGGGAACGCGGCTCGACGGTCAGGATGTAATGAGATTTCTTTGCAAAAAATAAAATCTTGAAATGTGTAGCGGGTTCTTTTCATCCGTTTCATCACTAACTTCCCTGTGAAGGACGGGCAGCCTGGCCCGGAGAGGGCGGGGTGGGGAAGCACACTGCGTGGGCTGGGTGTGTCCCCCGCGCCCCCAATCTCTGCAGGGCCGTAAGGGCTCCCACACCCCCCTCAATCCAGGCAGAAGGCGGGCGGTGCCCGGCCCAGTGACCCGTGGGGGGCGTCCGGCCCGGCCATTCTCAGTGGTCTTGCTCAGGCCGGACAAGGACCAGGAGAACCGGACGCGACGGTAGGAGAGGGAGGTGGGCGGAGCAGGGGAAGCCGGAGCGAAGGCGCCGTCACGGACAGTGCGTGCGCGTGCGTGTGCGTGCGTGCGCGCGCGTGGCTCCTCTCGGAGGCCCGCGTCGGCCCCCAAGCCGACCAGGTCGCGCTGACCTCCATGATGCCTGTGGGATGAAAGCGTCGCCTCCTTCGGACCATCGGTTCCTGATATTTTCTCTTCCCCGTCCTGTCGCGAAGGAGGTAAGAGGCCGTTGGGGCGGCTGGGGTCGCTGCCCCCACGCTCATGACCTGGGGGGGGTCGACTCTGGTGTGTGAACAGTAAATGCTGGTTTAGGAAAGGTGTCCTCTATTGGACCGAATTTTCTCGGAAGTGGCGTTTTCTGGGGAATGGCTTGTTCTATGGTCCAGGTTCATTTGGAAAGGATGTTCATTATCAAATCTCTGTGGAGCCTCCGTGGAGACCAGCCTGTGATGATCATTGGGCTACAGAAATAAGTTGCCCGAGAAAAAGCCACCCTTAGTTTCTGAGATAAATCCCACTTAGGCGTGTAGGGGGAGGAAAAGTGAATTTCTCTCGCCCCTTCTGAGTTCCTGGCTGAGAGCCCCGTAATAAGAGATTAACAAGAGAACAAGCAGCATGAGTGCGTCATGCATACATGGGGGACCCAGGGAAAATGAGTAGCTCCCCAAGATGGCTGAGAATTCAAGTCTAAGAGGAAAAGGGGAGGGGAATGTAGGCCTCTCAGGGGAGAGGAAGTGACTTGTAGGAAAGATGATGGACCCTTGGAGGAGGGATGGGAGGTGTGGTCGTGTGGCAGGTCGGCCTGGGTGTGCTTGTCTCTTCTAGGCCCCCTCCCAAGACTAGAGGCAATAACCCTCCTCAGGTGATAACCCCACCGTGGGGGGAGGGGATCTTTGACACCTGAGCCTCCTTGAGTCTCTGTCTCCAGGCAGATGAGGGAGCGCAGAGAAAACTCCTCCTGTACCTGCTGGTTCTCAAGGGCCTGCAGCTGAAAGTCGCTACATCCAGCGGCATGTTTGGGGGTGGCGTCTCGCTAACCTTCATCCCCGCCTTCGACACTCCCCCAAGCAGTTTCGCGGCCAAGCAGCTGGGCTGGCGGGTTGCTCCATCTCACTGAACCCATCTCTCAGTTCAGGTAGCAGTAGTCTCATTTCAGGAGGCAGGGTTGCAGGATGGCTCTACAGGATGCAAACAGTCAGGTGTGTAATATGAGGCATTTCCATGGAAGGAAAAGAAAAACAAAGTTAATGGTTGGAACAGGCTCTAAACCCGTTTCTGAGTCCTGGGGGCAGCCAGTCGAGAAGATTTCTGGTTGGTGATCTCACAGCAGCGTCTGCAGTCTGGTTGCCTCTGAAGAGGTCATTGAAGTTCCAGGGAACTTTCTGAACGTCGGCATGGCAACAGGCAGGCAGGCAGGCTGTCGTCGGTACATGAGCTGTTTCGGGGGCTTCTCTGAAGTTCATACCCCGTCATCCAGCCTTAGTTTGCAGGGCTTTGGGGAAAGGGCAGTTTTGTTCTTAGTGATTCCAAGTCAGAAAGGCAGGAGAAGGGGCTTCCCTGGTGGTCCAGTGGTTAAGACTCGGCGCTTTCACTGCCAAGGGCGTGGGTTCGATCCCTGCTCGGGGAACCAAGGTCTTGCATACTGTGAGGCGTGACCAAAAAAGGGGGGGGGGCGGGAGCAGGCAGGAGAACATTAGAAACGTTGGTTTGGAGAAGCGCGGCCAGATATTTGAGGAAACTAGAAGAACGCGGATCCAGTCCAGTTACAGGTAGAAAATAAAACCTCAAAGACAACAAACAGGACTAGAATCTCAATGTACAGCTTTCTACCAAAACCTAAGTTTTCTCTCTACAGTCAGCCACATTCCTACCAAAGGTAATCATGGTAAGACCGATTTGTTTGCAAAATGAATCTGGTCTCATTTAACGTGGCCTGACCGTTTACAAAGGTGTAGCAGAAACAGGACCATACAGGCTCTGTGGAGGTTTGCTCTGCTGGAGCTTCTAACAAGGACTCACCCTCAGGTCACACCTGAGCCCTCCCGTTTGGATGTGATGATGGCGGCTCTAGTGCAGGTTGAACCCCACCTGCTGGTATTTCTGTTCTGACCGTAACATCTCCGTCTCTGTGTGGGATTGGTTTGCAGTTACCTTACTTTGTGCTCTCAGGAGGAGAATGGTATCCAAGGAGGATTTGTAAAACCAGGGGGATTGCTTTTTCTCTTGTGTCCTCTGCTCTGGAAAACTTTCAAACACCTCCTAGGTAAGCTCACCTGACCCTGGAGCCCTTTGCGGAGGAATTTCCTAAAGAAATAGTGGTCTCTTCACGTTTGCTCTTCTTTCTAGCTGAGTTTGAAATTTTATATTTTCTCAAAAAATAAACAGTTTTGTCAAGATTTTCGACTTGGCTAACATAAAATATAAAGAATAAAATGTTCTTTTAAGTCTTATTTTTTTCTCTTAAATTTGCCAAAGGTACATCTATTTTCTTGTGGGGTTTTCTCCGAAGTACAGCTCTTGAATCTATTTATCAGTTCTTCCAATTTTTCTGTTTTCAGATTTAGAAATTTCTGCATTCGTCTTAATCAGTTACTTGGGTGTTTGCCACATCCTGCTTTGTCATTCCTTTCCTTCTGGAGCTAAATGCTCAGTTCATTCACTGTAATTCTACTTTAATGATGAAAACATTTGAAGTTAAGGGTTTGCTTTGATTCAATCTCTGGCCAAATTCCTTGGGTTTCACTGTGTAATCGTCTCCTAGTCATTACTATTTTTAAATCACCTCTAAATGTAGTTTTGATTCCTTAACCTGTGGTTACTTCAGAATGTTTTCTAAAATGTCTCTTTAAAATTATCGTTAAATTTTAATTGCATTATTCTAATAAAATGTCCTGGTCAGTTTTGCCTTGTGCAATTCGAGGTTTTCGTTGTGGTCCATTTGATTATAAAATGTTGCCATGGTGCCCTGGGCTTTGATTTTTAAAAGTTGTGTTTTCTAAAGGTGTATTCAGAGTTTCATGCTAATCTTAATTTGACCCCATCAGTTATTCCTTTCACATCCTTGTGGCTTATTTACAGTTTCCCACTTTCGGACAAGTGTTTCACGGTGTCTGTGATTATTAACTGCCCTTTATGTGACAAGAGTCTTGGCTTCATCTAAATGAAAGACGTACGTCTTTGTTTAATTCTGCTGGTGTCCTTTCTGTGTCCCAAAGACGTATGTTTGTCTAATGATCTGGTCAGAAGTGACATGTTGTTTCTGTGTAGCCCCACCCCACCCCACATAAAACACAGAATCGTGCATTTTTCTCTGTTCTTTCCGTTTCTTCCCCCAACTCTCAGGCTTTGCTAACTTACTTTGGATTTGGGGCCCAGATAAGCATTATTAAATTGTTTTTTCAACAATATACAGTTTCTGTTATAAAAAAAAAAAAAAACTTTTTGTGCTTGTACTCAGCTCCATAAAACCACATTGACAGCAATTTTCAGAGTTAAGTTTCTGTGTCTAAATACTGGTCGTGGGCCGTTTCTGTCGCAGCCCCCGTTCTTGAGATCCTGGCTGTGACCCACCCTTCAGGGCCTCTGTCAAAGGCGCAAGAACACAGGACATTTTCTGCATCTTTGCGCATCCAGAAATATCTGTTCCCTCCTACACGGATGACGGCTCGGGGGCACAAGCGTATTGGCCCCGACCTTTTGCCCTCAGACCTCTGTGGAGTGTGCTGTTCCCTTGCCCTTGTCTTTGTCGAGGTTTGCTGTGCTGGGTGTTTGCACTGGGTCCTCAGCCACTTCAAACCATCATTTGCAGGCTCTCCCGTCGGTGTCATTGGCTCTGCCATGCTCACTGCACACCCTCTCCTCTTGGAATATTGTGTCCTGTCCTCCCCTGTCACCTGGTGGGCCACCAGATGTGCAGCGGTGGCTCTCAGTAAACCCCTGGCCTCTGCTTGCCCTTCCGGTCCCCGGAGTGGACGAAGCATTGGCTGTGGCCCCAGATGCACCTGGGAGAGGCCACGTGTGTGGCCAGCAGGTGGGATGAACGTGGCCCTGCTCACACTGCAGCCTGACCCTCCCCTCCACCTGCTCCTCCTTCCAGATCCGGTCCGACAAAGACAGCGACATCCCCATCCGCTACAGCATCACGGGCGTGGGCGCCGACCAGCCCCCGGTGGAGGTCTTCAGCATCGACTCCATGTCTGGCCGGATGTATGTCACACGGCCCATGGACCGGGAGGAGCGAGCCTCCTACCACGTGAGTGTCCATGGCCTCAGGTCCCTGAGCGGGGGGAGGGCAAACCCAAGTTTGTATCAGAAAAGCCCAGGGGCGTGTGGGGCACCGCCCCAGAGTGTCTGTTTCATGGGGCTGGGTGGGCCGAGAATTTTCACTTGTAACACGTTCCCGGGTGATGCTGGGAGGGTCTGGGACACACTGGGGGAGCGACTGGTAGAACTGGATCCACCTGGAAGACGTGGATCCACGTGACCTGCCAGGAGCTCTGATGGTCGGCGGGGAGGTCGAGAGGCTGCTGTGCCATCCCCGGCCTCTCTGATGGCCAGACATGCATCCTGCAGCCCTTCTGTTCCTGCCTCTCTGAGAGCGGAAAGGCAGCTCTGAAGCCAGCACTGCTGTTTCCATCTCGGAGCTGTGCGTGGAGAGGGAGAAAGGAGGAGAAAGTGGAGACTTCAGAGTTCAGCTGAAAGGGACTGTCCACCCGTTTCCTCCTTGGCCTCACAGCCTGGTGGCCCATGGGAGTGGCCCTCTGCCCTGGTGCCAGGCCCCTCTCCGGGCTCTGCATCCTTGTTTGCAGGATGAGGGTCTGCACCTGCGGGCGTCACACGGGCTGGAGCCCCGCCCCCAGCAGGTGGGACCTGGGCACTTAACCTCTCCGGCCTCGGTGCTCTCTCCTGCGAAGGGGGCGGATGACCAGGCTGCATCAGCGTGCCGTTGAGAGGACTCACAGATGACCACACGAGAGGCATTTAGGACAGAGCCCAGCCCCTGGTAAGGCTGCCTTTGGGGTTATCGTCAAGACGTCGGAGCTCCCAGTTCCTGGATTGTAATTTACAAACAAAGACGTTCGCGTGAGAGGATGGACTTCACAGCCTTCTGCCCGTGTCGTCCTGCTGACCGGCTCTGAGCTCGCTCGGCTCCAGCCCGAGGTGCTAAGTGTGGCCACAGGCTCTGCTGCGCCTCTTGTTTGCTGGTTATTCGTTTCGGGTTAATTGTCCACCTCCTGGACCAGAAGGAAGGCTCCACGCGGGCAGGGAGCCGTCAGGCTTGTCAACACCACATCCCCTGGCCCGAGACCAGAGCCCAGCCCTTGGGGGACGCTCACAACCCATTCGCAGAAGGGAGGGAGTGGGTGGGAGGAGGCTGATTCTGTCACTGGCAGCGGTGGCCTCCCCTGAGGGACTCCTGATGTCCCGTCAGAAGCAGGTGCACCTGCGGGAGCCCATCCTGGGGGGCGGGCAGTCCCCTCTGAGCCACGAGGGTTTCCTCTCTCAGTGGATTACTTCCCTATGTTCAGGACAGCTACAGAATTTCCGGGTCCGACACAAAATGAAACAGGGGCCCCTCCGAGCTTACTAAGGATTTTAAGACCGTGACGGCAGAGCACTGAACCACACGCAGGCCCTTCTGAACACAGGGCCCGTGTGACTGTGCGGGTCACACAAGGCCATGAGGCTCGTGGCCCCCTTTGAGGTGGGATCGACAGGAAGGCCGAGGCTTGAGGACCCCACCTTGTGGTTGTCTGGGCCTCCAGGGCCCCATCTGCGCCTCGGCGCAAACGGCCCAGAGCTGCACCCAGTGTTACGTCCATTCCTGAGGATCCCCAGCTCCGGGCACCCCAAGAGCTGCTCGATGCCGAGGGCACCACACGCCTCCCTGAGCCCCCTTCCGCACCCCCCAGACCCGCTGCTGGGAAGGCAGGAGCCAGGTCTGGGGAAAGGAGACCCGACTGGCAGTGGTCTGGGGTCTCCAGAGTTCCCGGCCCACCGTTAACCGCCACGGTGGGTGCACAGAATCAGTGAGACAATCCAGCCAACACGTGTTCAGCCAGCCTCGCGGCAGGAAACACACCGACTCAACGTGACTGTTGGCGCCCCACGGGGGCTGTGTGCTGCCACCACAGTGCTCACGGCATGGCTCAAGGCCAAGGTCAGCTCCCCTCGCCTGCCAATGAGTCCGTGCTGACTGAGAGACTGAGGGGAAGAGCTGGAGGCAGACAGGCCCCCAGTTCCTTGCAGCTGTTGGCCAGGGGCCGCTCCCACCTCCTGATGGCACCACAAGTCTCTGACTCTCTCGCCTGCCGCTGGCCAGGAAAAGTGCTCTGATTTTAGAGGCCACGAGGCTACCTCTGTCCACCCAGACAGTCTCCGTGCCACAAAAGCCAATCCCGCCACATGACTGACCTGATCACGGGGTGAGCCCCGTTGCCCTCACTCCTGAGACCAGTGCCCCACATCCTTGCGGCCCTTTTAGAATCCTCTCTGCTCCCCCCGACCCCAGTTCCACCGGCACCTTTGCCTGTGGAGTGGGTGGGATGACCTCCCACCTGAGAGGGAGCTGGTAAACTGGACACGGGTCAGCATGAGACGACCGCGTGGAGGCCCACCAACACGAGACAGATGAGCTGTCACTGCCCTGCAAGGTGACCCCCCAGAAGGTTCTCTCAGGACTCCGTAAGAGGGCTTGCTATCGGGTTCTCCCGCATACCGTCACCTTGGGCAAGTTCGCTAATCTTCCTGCACCTCCGTTTCCCCGTCTCTAAAATAGGGATCGGACAGCACCCAGCTCATGGGTTCTTGTGAGCTGTGAGGTAAGGCAGTGCGTGTAGAGTTCTGGGGGCACCCCCAGCCCGAGCCAGGGCGCAGCGAGAGCCAGAGGCTGGTGGTGATGGAAGACAGCCTCCAGAGTCCACGTGAGGCCACTTCCAGGGCCCACATAGAATGTTCCGGGTCCCGTGCCCCAGGAAGAAACCAATGGCTCACGATTAAGACACGAAGAGCGAGCACCTGGAAGGGGAAAGAACAGGGTCCCGCACACGGTCCGCAGGCACCCACAGTGCATCACGGGAATTCGCTTGGCGTGCGATGCTCAGATTTGCAAGTCGCAGGACGTTTCTTATCTCCACCACCAAGACAGACCCCCGTCCCCCAGCCGGCGGCTGTGTGCGCAGCCTGAGAGATGGACGGGGCTGGGGGCGCTCTTAGAGATTTCCAGCGGACACCATCGAATGTTATTTAAACTTGGGGGCTGTGGGCGAGGAGAACCGCACCGGCCACTTTCTGTCATTGGCTCCACTCGGGATGCTCCTGCTGCTGAGGGTAGCGGCCCAAGCGGCAGTGTCACTTTAGGTAGAAGATAACTTTAAGTTTAGCTCAGAATTACCCTTTTTAAAAGTCTTCTCAGCCTTTGGCTCAGTGCCTTATCGCCTGGCTGCGCTTGACAAGATGAAGGATGGCCTGGTGGCCCGCGGGAAGGACTTCCGCAGCAGGGCAGGTGCAGACCGGGGCTCCCGGAACTGGGGACTGACGGCGGCTGGGGCGGGTGGCTAGTGGAAACAACCGCACAGCATCCTGAGACGTTTAAACACGATACTTCAAGCCTCTCTGCAAGGGGGCAGCCACACCACTTAGCGGGCTGCGGGTCCCGGGAATCAGCGCTCATTTGTCCCCTTCTGATGACTCAGATCACCTGGTCTGTGAAGCCAGCCTGGAGCTCCCCACTAAACACACTGTTTCAAGGGTAAAATTCCACCCAGGGCTGTCGGGCTGGGGCTGGCGTGCTGCAGTTAGCACGAGGCCCCTCCTGCAGGCAAGGATGGGCACCGCTGCCTCTCCCCTGAGGCTGGCAGAGCACAGGGTGCAGGGCACTGAGGGGGTGGCGTGGACAACTGTGGGTGGGGCCCCTGCTCAGAGACCCCTCCCCCCGGAGGCCTGGAGCACAGGCTCTTCTGGCCACCCTTGGCTTGGCGCTGTCTTGGTGTAAAGACCCTGAGGTCTGGTGTGTCCGGCTTGGAGGGTAACGTGATTTCCACAGAGAGATGGGGTCCGGGACACGGCTGTGTGACAGTCACAACTCTGGCTGGAGAGACCCAAGGCAGGTGCCTTCCACTCGCCAAGACTTGGTTTTCCCGTCTAAATCCCAGGTCCCCAGTGGTCCTACTCCAGCCCCCGCTGCTGCCTGCAGAGCTCAGCCACTCTGCGTGCCCCAGGGAGGCCTCCACACTTGCTGTCCTCTTGGCTGCTTGTCCAGGGCTCAGCTCCAACGTCATCTCCTCTGAGAGGCCTGCCTGGCCTCCTCCCCACCCCAGCGGGTCGCTGTGGTCACACACGTTCTGTACTGCTTCCTTTCCTTCTCAGGGTCCGTCTCCCTTCTACACGAGAAGCCCCAGGGCAGCCCCGTGTCTCACTGAGCCATAGTCTAGGGTACAGCCCAGTGCCTGGCACAGATGGGCCCTTGATAGATATTGACTGAGGGAATGAATTAATGAGTGAATGAGTGAATAAAAGAAATCCAGAAGTGAAGGGGTGAGTCTGAGCAGCCCCTCTGGACGCTCCATGCCGAGTTGAGGAGGTCTCTTCCCTTTGTACCTTCAAGTCGTTCCCAGATGCAGTTCCCTGGAGCCCCTTCCCCAGCAGAGTGGGGGCTTCCACCCCAGGGCCCCTGGACCCATTTCCTCTTTGCTGCCCCAAGAACAGATAAGCCGGGGCGTGAATGGGCAGCAGGGTGGCCTCACAGTGGACCCCCAAGTTCAAGGCCCCCATGTGTCTCTCCCAGGCCTGACCTCTCAGCAGCAGGAGTCTAAGCCCCCAGCCCTGGTTGGCACAAGTGGCCTTTGTGTAGCTACTCTAGGTGGACGTGAACTCTCATGGTCAATAGTGTGGGGACGGTCTGAGTGGGTCCTGGGTGGGCATCGGCGTGGGCCCTCGGGTCAGTTTCAGGCTCCCATGGGACACCCGGTTTTGCCCTCTCAGGACCCTTCCCCATTTCCACAGAGAGCCGAGGCTCATGACGTGTCCGCGGGCTGCCCCTTGGGGGGCCCGGAGCTGTTATGTCACCACCGTCCCAGTGCTGTGGGTCCAAGGAAGCTGCTTTCGGCTGTTCTTAGGCAGCCAGTCAGGTGTGTCCCCACTGGGCGGCCGCCGGCCCTGATGGCGTGTGCTGCTTTCCAGCTCCGAGCCCACGCCGTGGACATGAATGGCAACAAGGTGGAGAACCCCATCGACCTGTACATCTACGTAATTGACATGAACGACAACCGCCCCGAGTTCCTCAGCCAGCTGTACAACGGCTCCGTGGACGAAGGCTCCAGGCCAGGTGAGCCCCGGGCCCCGAGGGCGGGCAGGGGCCCCACGCTAGGGGAGGGCCACGCAGCCCCCGCCACCGCTGGGGCACCGTGGGACTCGTCGCTGACGCGTTTATTTTAGCGGGTGTTTACGAGTACCTACTGCGTGCACTGGGGAGCGGGGTCCCTGCTCCACAGACCTCACGGTCCAGAGGGGCCACAGACAAAAGAGCAAAAACAGGGAATGAAGCTATTGCAGTGATGATTAGGCTCAGAAGGAAACCCATGGGGCACTGGGTCATGGGGCCGGCTGTAGATCAGGGAAGGTCCCTCTGCGGAGGCACCCTGTGGGCCAAGAGCCGATGCGTGATAAGGAACAGCACTGAGAAAAGGGCTGGGAGGGAACTAGGGGTGGAAAGAGCATGTGCAAAGGTCCTGGGGCAGGTCAGAGAGCAGGCCGGCCACCTGAGGCCTCCTGGGCACCCTTGGGGTTTGATTACAAGCACAACAGGAAGCCCGTGAGAGGGCCGACTCCCCAGCCCGAGGAGATGAGCCGAGTGCCTGAGGCCTTGGTTCCCCTCAGAGCTGACCCAGAGCCTGTCTTCCCGTGGGCTCCTGTCCAGCATAAATGGTAACGACCACTTTATAGCATCTGGCCTCTGGGTGACATCATGACCAGGAAGTGGGCACCCCCCTCTCCCCTTTAGACTCAGGGCCTGGGGAGGTGGAGGAAGCCGCCCCGGCCCCTTGGTGTGGATGTGGGGGGAAGCCCCAGCCGATGCTGGGACCCCCGCTCAGGGACCTGCAGCATCGGCTGGGAACACGTCACAAATGCATCGCTTGTGGCCGCACCTGCTGATTCAGACGCTGCAGATGGGGCCCCGGGGCCAGCAGCCGAGCTCCCAGGTGATTCTGCACTTGCTTACGTTTGAGAAGCACAGCCCCGCTGTCTCCTGATTGGGGGCGGGGTTGTCCTTGGGACAACTGCTCAGCTCAGGTCGAGTGGGGAGCTGAGTCAAGCACCACTGCTGAGGTCCCTGCTGGGGCTGCCGGAAGTTACCGCTAAAATATAGGACTCGGGTTACATTTGAACTTCAGAGAAACAAGGGATCATTTTTATGCAGGAGTATCGGGAACATACTTAGAGTAAAGGGTATTGCTTGTTGATCTGAACGTCAAGTGTAACCGGGTGTCCTGCATCTTAGAGGCTGCCCCTCCCTGGCTCCCTGGCGGGCACCCATCCTGGGAAAACTTCCCAGCTCTGGGGAAGGTCTGCGGTGCCGGGCAACCTGAGGCCAGCTTCCCGGGCCTCTGAGGAGGGGTCAGTGGGCGTCCGGCTTGTGGGGAGGCGGGGTTCGCGAAAGCAAACATTTATCGACCCTTCTCCCCTAGCTCCGTCTCGGGGCTGCTGCTGCAACAAGGTGGATTGCGTTTATGATTGATTGTCTCTCAGAATTGGGACTCTCGGGCCAGCCTGGTGTCAGCAAAGGGAACGGGATATGACATTATTTCTGCAGGAACCCTGGGCAGCTGGGCCCTGCAGGCCCTTGAGGGGCAGGGGCAGGCGGCAGGTGGCCATATTAGCTACAGGCAGCCAAAGGAAACAGATGAGGGCTGCCAACAGCCAGCTCTTTAAGGATCAGGGTGGGGAGTGAGTGTCAGGCTTGGGGAAGGGGCTTTCTTGTTAACAGAAGCGGCGGGTCCTCTCTCCCCAAGACCCAGGACGCTCTGTAAAACTGCCTGGATGTCACAAATCAAGCCTCCCGCATCTTACTTTCAAATAGATCGATAGAGACAGTTTTCCCAAATGCGTAACTGCCTTTACTCATTAGGATAACAAAAGCAGCAAATTACTCTGTCTCCCCCTCGAAATCCTGATAGGAGCATCCTCGGATAGCTGGGTGTGGCCTGGGCGGGCTGAGGGCTGGTGTTGTCCCTGACTGGTCCTTGATTCCCCAGACACTTTGAGCCTTTCTGGGACCTTTTGCACTAAATGTTGGCTGACTTTCGAAGCCCCTGGGGGCCCCCAGGTGCACCTCTGTTCCCGGAACAACCCTCAGAGGGGAACAGTGACGTGCCTCTTTGTGCAAAGCCAGGGATGGAGCTGCACGGTGCCCCGTTGGACCTGGCTTGATGCCCTCGCTCACCCTGATGTCCAGACAAAGCGGGCACTGCATCCTCGAGGCAGGAGACTCCCGGGGACTTGGAAATAGTCTCTCCAGTTTCTTCCCTTACACCAGTAAATTACAATAATGGAAGGGTTTTACACAGTGCCTTTGTGGGATAAGGAAAAACTACCGCCAGAAGTTAGTCATTATTTTCTGGAATGATACAGGCTAATGAAGGGTGTCAGATGCACGTTCTAATGGAAAACAAATAGGAATGTGTGTTTAGTATTGACTCAGCTGGATAGGAACCTTCTAAGGTTTGGGAAGTTCACATGGGGACATCAGCAAGCCAACTGGGGCCAGATCCCAGGCCAATCCCACATCACCCCACGTCCTTCTCCCAGCCCCAGGCCCCTCAGTTTTATGAAATCCTCTCTGGCTCTGCTGGGTTGAATGGGCTCACACACGACTGTGGCTCCTACAACTGAGAAGCTAAATTTCTCCTTGTATTTAGTAGAAATAGCCACGTGCCACGTGTGGGTAGTGGCCGCCGTGTTGGGTCCCCACCCAGACGGGGCCCCCTGAAGCTGGCGGCCACAGCAGCAGTCCCTCCCCTCCCCCCGGGAGCATCTGTCCCCTCCTGGTCTCGTCCCAAATCCTGGATGGAACTGGCCAGGGGCCACCAAGCCCCTTGGAGACTCCATGCGATGCTCCAGGTGAGAGCAGAAAGGGAAGCATGTCTGCTGACCCCGCTTTGAATGTCTCACCGCGGGAGCTTTTCTCGGGTGGGTGCCCCGCCGCTTGCTCCCTGTGTACACGTCACCCCTGCCTTTCTAAACTCTGCCATTTCTGCAGAGCCCCGCCTTGACACCCACCCTGTACTGTGTCCCCCCAATCTGCCTTGCCCACCCCCTTGAGGCGACCATCCCACACCCCCGGGCAAACGCTGCATCTGCAGGGGCGACTGTTTTTGCACACAGGATGAGCACGTTCGCTGTTTCCATGCACTCCCTCTGTCATGATGGGAGGGTAACTGATGTGCGTCCCTGTGCAGCAAAATGGGTCTTAAGTAAGCGGTCGTTTCTGCCAAGGCCTCTCTCCCTGGCTTTGAAATTGACTCTGAGTTCATAAGTTCAGATTCGTAATAATTTATAAGAATTATCTATCTGTAATAGGGATGTTTTCCATAAAGAATTGGAGTTTCATTGATTTCAAGTTCACCAGAAAGTGGAACCAAAATTAGGGTTCCCAAGAAGAAGGGTCCCACTGAAATGAGACGTGAGGAGGCTCAAGAGGATTGTGGCCTGGTGCCCGCTGGGGCCTGGGGTCCACAGAGGTATCTCAGGCCCCTGGGTGGGCAGGAGGCAGGCGGGCCAGGCTTTGTACAGACTCGAGCCAGCTCCCCAGGTATCGCCACCCCATGGACTCCTAGATGCGCTTCCCATGGGGTCTCATTGGAAGAAATGTCTTTTTAAGAAATCTTTTTATTTTGACATAGTTGTGGATACACATGCAGTTCTAAGAAATGGTACAGAGATACCCCACAGATCCTTCACCCAGTTTATCCCGGTGGTAACATCTTGCAGAGCTGCCGTGCAGGGTCACACCAGGATGTGACATTGGTGCAAGCCCTGGCCCTCACTCAGACTTCAGCAGTCTTGCCTGCATGCGGGTGTGTGTGCGCGTGCGCGTGTCTCCAGGTGCGTGCGGTTTTATCACGTGTGCTTCGCATGACCTCCACGGTCAAGACGCTAACGGTTCCATCACAAGGACCCTCAAGCTGCCCTTTCAGAGCCACAGCCACCTCCCCACCCACCCGCCATCCCTAACCCTTGCAATCATTGATCTCATTTGTCTCTATGATTTTGTCATTTTAAGACGTTCATATAAATGGAATCATAATGGTGTGTTACCTTTGGAGACTGGCTTTTTCCACTGAGCATAATCCTCTAGATATTCATCCAAGTGGTGTGTGTCCAAAGTTCATTTCTTTTCATTGCTGAGAAGTCTGCGGTGTGGATGCGTTGCCCTTGTTCACCCTTTGAAGGGCATTTGGGTTGTTCCCAGTTTGGGGCCATAGTAAACCTCCAAGATCTTTCATCCCCATACAGACTTTTGCATGAATGTAAGTCTTCATTTCTCTGGGACAGATACCCAAGAACGCAGTCACTGGGTGGCACAGGGAACAAGGGGTCAGCTCTGCGAGGGATGGCCACGCACTCTTCTGGAGTGACGGTGCCGTCTTCTGTCCCACCACGTGGGTGGCCCAGCTTCTCCACGCCCTCATCAGCACTTGGTGGTGTCGTGTTGCTTTAGCTGTTCAGAGCGGGGTAGTCGTATCTCATGCCGGTTTTCACTTCTATTTCCCTGATGGCTGACGACCTCGGAGATCTCATCCTGTGTTTGTTTGCCATCCGCACATCCTCCTCGATGAGATGGCTCTTCATGTCTCTTGTCCATTTTCTAAATAGTTTGCTTTTTTTAATCACTGAGTTTTGAGAATTCTTATTCGAGCTACAAGCCCTTTGTCGGACCTGTAGTTTGCAGGTGTTTTCTCCCCCTCCGGGACTTGTGTTTTCATCCCCTTCGTGGCGTCCTTTGGGAGCAAGAGATTTTCATTTTGACGCAGCCCAGTTTTCCACTTTCCGTCGATGGACTGGGCTTGAGTATTGAGAACTCTTCCCAGGCCCTGGGTCCTGAAGATGCTGTAGGCTTTGTTCTAAAGGTCGTGAGACTTCATGTCCGGGTCATTTCTCTGCTCACGGATGCCCGGGTGCTCCTGCACCGCTTGTTGGAACGGCTTTCATTGAGTTGCGTTTGTACTTTTGTCAAAAATCAGTTGGGCCTATTTGTGGGTTTGTTCCTGGGTTCTCTGCTTCTATCCATTGATCTGCGTGTCTGTCCCTCTGCTAGCCCCGCACTGC